AATACAAAATCACAGGTTCTAACTCCAAAAGCCTACAGCGTTTTAAAAGAAAGTTATCAGTTTGTACAGTCCCAGGCCAGTTGTCTTCATTCCTAAAGTATCTAAGGAAAAAAACCCCAAAAAGTATCTACAAATGTGTTTTTTACCATAGTTTGCAGTGCAAATGTAGTGCTGGATTTTCAAACTCATCTTTTTTCTATGTAGGATAAACCTAAAATGGTGCTATGTTCAAATAGCTTACCTAGTATCTCATTCTTCCTCTTCTCTTATCCTTACATAGCTCTACACCATTATTGAATTTGCCCTGGCTTCACTTCAAGGAAAATTAGACTCTTTAGGTGGAGAAATTCCTAATGTTGTACATGCAGCATTTGTGTTGCCACAGGTTCGTTCTTTCTTCTACCCTTCTGCATTAGCCCAGATCGCTGCTGTTAGATGTCATGTGATGTCAGAGAGTGAGTGATCCCTAAAGACACTCTTTGTCACCCGTCATTCTTTAATCAGGTGTGGGACGCCAATCTTCTGATCAACAGCCATGCAAAAAAGAAAAAGAAAAGAATAAAATAGTGCTGTAAAGCTTTGCTGAGGTTTTTCTGCTAGCATGGGTACAGGTTTTAATCCGATGTTTCAGAGGATATTTTTAAAGAAAAAAAGGGCTTGTAATTTCTGAACAGAAAAAATGGGGAGTTTTATAATAAATCTTAAAGCAACAGACTATTGTAAAAGAAAATTGAGTTAGTGACGGGGAGTATTGCTTCTAACACACAATGAAATGTGAGGTTTCACATATCTTAAGTGCTTCCCAATGCCCAAACTCCACATTTCTCTTGCCTGTAACGGACTGTGTCATCACAAGTAACTTCCTCAGCAGCTGCCTTTGCTTTCCAGAATCAGACATATAACCCAGCTGTCCGACTCTAAGCAATCCCATATGTCTGACTCCAAGCCCTCCCCTCGCTCACTGATACACTGCTATATCAGCAGAGACAATGAAATTATGGTAGACTGGTTTTCTGACTAACTGCTGGTTTGAAGATTTGTATGAAATAATACAGAACTTACTTAAACCTCTTTATATTAGGAATGGTCCAGCTCTAAAAGCGGGCTTAGAAAGAAATATGCTGTTAGTTATGACTGACAGATACATTAGATACAAAAAGTCATGGAATGGAGGTTCTCTGTAGTTACTTCTCGCTCATTACAAAATGTTATGGTCACTGGTCAGTTTTTGAGGTTGGCCTTGAGTTTGCATTCTGAGAGCATGTTTGTTAAGGCAAGGGGGCTTTCACTCCAGGCATGGGGTTCACCTTACAGGTAGAGACACCTACAGTGTAGGCATCTCCAGGTTAGCAGGTATCTAAGCTCCCACTGTGGTCAAGGCACACAGTTCAATGCATAGTATCTGAATGTATCTGGAGTGATACAGCTCACGCCAGAGCTGGCACCTACACTTGGTCAGCTGCATTCCTCTCCAGACACACACCACTGCCTGTGTTGAGCAGCTCCTCGCTGGCTTCAGAGGTTGCTTAGACATGTAGCTTATATGTAGACCACTGCACTTAGATCTTTTACCCAGAAAGGAGTATCTAGTCCCTTCTCTGACCAGGCATGTCCTACCAGGTTTAGCTGCACTGTTTGTGTCACTGGGATAACAAAAAGAGTAGTTAACCAACAGAAGCTTATGGCCAATTTGGAAATAGGAAACAGTGGACAGGTTGGATTCAAAGCCATGGGACAAAATCTCAGAGGTATAATGAGACATATCTAAAATGTTACGATTATGTACCTAAAACTGCAAGCTGTTTTGTGGTTTTGTTTTATTTTACTGTTCTGGAGTCAATGGCAAGTTTCCTTAAATATGGACTAAGTATCTACCGGATGTTACAGCCACCATTTTAAATAAGCACAGTGCTCATCATCCCAGTTATGAACAGCAGAAGTGGTGGGTGCTCAGATCCTCTGAGAAAACAGCCATTTAAGTGTTCTTCCTACATGCTGAATAGGTGATGTATGTGGTAAGGGTGGATAAACATTGACTTCTTAATGTTATTTGCTGTTCTTTCAGTAAAAGACTTGTAAAGAAACCCATGACAACTTGAGAGTTCAGCTAATAGTATTAAGGTCACAAACTTTCTTAAAGGATGTCTTAGAAAACCATTCTCATCACAGTGGTCTAGCATCCTGTGACAGATGCTAAGCTTAAGAAACCTATCTGCTCTTGCTACATAATCTTTGCAAAAGTCTGTGGGCTGGATAGAGTTTCTCTGTCTGGCTTGGTGGATAAGCTGTATGATGCTTCCTGCAGCCCAATGGACATGCCTGTAGTTTGTGTGCTGTTTCATAGCTTTTTTGTAATAGTACTGTTTTTCTGAATAAGAAGTATACAGTCAGTTCTTGTTATGTTGGGCAAGTTATCTGTAAGTTAAGCACAACATAGATGCAGTGACACTCTGCACAGTAATGCTGCCAGCCACGAGATGATACATTTGCTTTACGGTAGAAAGACTTTGACCAGTTTGGATCACCCCAACAATGTTTCTTTGCCTTCTGCTTTCCCCCACCATCCTTGTTGCATGCTCTTACTCCCTAATTGTTCATGTATTGCTTTCTCCTTATTTTTGTTTCATTTGTTTACTCTATTTGGAGGATGTATAGATGTAGCACTTGGGGACATGGTTTAGTGGTGGGCTTGGTAGTGCTGGGTTAACAGTTGGACTCAATGATCTTAAAGGTCTTCTCCAAGCTAAATGATTCTATGATTCTCTTCACCATTACCCATACTGATGACACTTTGCCTGATGAGAGGTTGCTGATCGGTGGTTAACTATGTTACTGCCCTTGAGAACTTGGGCTTCAGGATAACACTGGGAAGCATAAGACTTTTGTTCACATAATGCAGATCCTTCTCAACCCTTTGTCTTGCCACTAACCTCTGTTGTTAGCAGAAACGTGCTGCTAGGCTGGATTTGCTGGGTATTTCGGGCCTTTCTTTGGGAGCACACTCACTTCCAGGCTTAAAGCTGCTAGCTACTTGTCTCAACTTGGGTTATAAACTTGACCAGGGCTTTTATTTCCCCTGCTACCAGGAAGAAACAGAACGTGGATAGTTTTATGATGCACCTGGGTTTTTCAGTTGTTTTGATTCTTCTTTCTTCCATCTGTTAGTATCTTCCAAAATATTCTCCAGTGACTCTTTTTCTCCACCTCAAATATTCCTCTGTCTCTGCATCAGCTGCTATGAGTGCACTGTTCTCCTTTTATGAAGATGCCATTCATCCTTCTTCCCCTGGAGGCCCTACAGGATGTTTTTATTCTTTATGTGTGGTGATCCTTCACGTATTTAGTAAATCTCCCTCAGCTGGGACGTCTGTTCCATGGTGATAGAAGAGGCAAAATGCCCTGGTTTGGGATCACCTCTGCTAGTAGCAGAGTCTTCTCCTCTGAAATTCATTTCTAAACCAGAGCAATTCTACTGAAGGATTAATGTAAGATTAGAGTATTAAATTATTAGAGTATTAAATATAAGGTATTAAAATACCTTATAATGTGAAAGAAATACATGTTCTTAGGTTATACCTAGAAACACTTTTAGCTGTTCTATTAATTAAAGGTTTTCTTTGCCTAATGCTGATGAAGACACTGGATTTCATGCGAGTAGGACTAAAGCCTTCTGAATTCCCAAGTGCTTTTTAATTATGGTGTAGTATGCAGCCCGATGTTTCACACCAGTGCTTGTTAGCGCCCTTGCATGGATCATCAGGCCCTTGCTGCAGCCATCACAGTGCTTAGCGCGTGTCCAGAAAATCAACTGTCCTGTAGTGGCAACTTCAATAACCCACAGATTTCAGTACATTATGCTCAAAAGGAGATCGTTTGATCTGGGGAAGTTGTATAAAGTTCTCTTTCAGGAGCAGCTAACACCATGACTAGTGGGCTGGTGTTGTTTGAAATGTAATCTAAACTGTTCGTACATGTCTAATGTTTGTATAGACAGCCACAACATGCATTGGCAAATACACACTATGCAGTTACTGTGATTTTTCTTTCATTGACAACTGCAGCTTATGGCCAGATTCCAGTTTAAATTTTTACACACACACACATACACACAAACATTAATATGCAGACATAGCTAGAGATATAGATGTAGATTAGAGATATAATTTGTATGGTTTTAAAATAATTTGGAATGTTTTGTGTAGAATATCTCAGTGACAGGCCAGCGTATTGTGCTTGGCCAGCCTTTAAGAACTGAGGCTGTCTGTGACAGCAGTTTGAGTAATCAATGATGGGAGTCTGTTGAAATGGAGCCAATAAATCTGTGATGAGTTTACTTTGTCAAAGAAGTTTACAGAAGTTATTACTTAATTCTTTTCTGAGTATTATTTCCCACCGTGGGTAGCTGTGGAGTTTAACGTAGCCATGTAAGCATGAGCGTGGGTGACACAAGTAGGGGTCATTTACACTGATGAGAACAAGTGCACATCTGTATGCAGATGTGAACAGGCATGTTCAGTATATAGCTGACTTGATGTTCTTTTACTGAACAGCGATGAAAAGAGAGACTGAAGGCCATCCCCAGTTTCATATTTTTATGAGTGGCTTGTCTTTATTGTGAGCTGACTCCTGAGCCATGTCTAGTGTGATCACTGTATTAGGCACTGAGAGCTCTGCTACATTTAAACCATAAATGTCAACATTTTAAAAGATTTCCTAAGATAATTTTTATAATTTCCCAACTGAAGCAGATGTGCATGACCTATTTATTTTACTTATATCATATTTTAGAGGCATGACATCTTTTTCGCTATAAGAAAAATTTGTCCATGACTGCTTTACATCATCCCCCAGTCCTCTGTGTAGTGTTGTAACAGTGTCATCTGGACAGTGCCCAGATCAGGTGGAAGAAATCTTAAGGTCTTGCAACCTCAGATTGGTTAAAAGAGTGATGGAGAGTCAGGAACAAAAGGTTAAATAGAAGGCTGTAAATTTTGTATGCGATGGGGATAGCTGTGCTCTTAGTTGCACCTCAGAAACTAAATGAGTGTCAGGCTGCTGTTAATGGTTGTCTACCAGATGAAGAAGCCATCCAGTTGATAACGCCAGAAGGTAAGTCTCTGAAAGAAGCACAAATAGGAAGCAAATTGATCAGGGTAGTGACAACAGATGCAGACGTAAGGTAGTCACAAGGAGTAGCAGCAACAGACTGGCAAAAGTTTCTCTCCCAGTCTGCATAAGGGAAGCCACGGATGTTATACAAAGATGTGCTGTCCTTATTTCCCTGCATTTGCTTTGTACTCTTGTTTATTGCACATCACACACATTTACATATCCAGGCACGAAATGGAAATGATCAGTGCAAAGTAGGTATTTTTGTTAATTGTTGTTGCTCTGTGTCATGCCTGACTGGGTCTGCTGGAGATAGGTGAGGAAAGACAGAACTATTATTAGAAGTACAAATAATTGTCAAGAGCAACTTTTAAAGCCACCTGCTACCACATATGAACATCAAAAATTATCCTAAGAGGTGAAGGGCAGCATTAAGAGGACAGAGGCAATACCATGTCTCTGTCAATGTAGATGTTGGCAACTGCTTCTGAATCTTGACCATCTGTGGGTTTTTTTCATTTCTGCTCCCTGGGAGCTTCAATCATTTTCTGTCACGACCCTATCAGTGCCTGGTTGCAACAACAGTGTCTTATGCCAAGAGCTGATGGGTGTCTTAGAGTTGGGCTGCTTTATCTGCACGACCCTAGTGAAATGTGTCTGCTTTTTGTCCCAGTAGTTGGAAAGCAATTCTTAACATGCTTTCATACATGCAAGGCAGAGCCAAGATGAGCATTCAATTTGAGAAGGGAAAGCTGTGCTTGAAGTGCTTAAAGATAGTGCTTTTCATAGTGGACCTATATTGCAGAGGACACAGGAGGGTTTCTGGTACTTCCTACTCTGCAGAAGTGCAAGAGGGGTTTTAGAAATATCTGTGTATGAATGGTTGCATGATCCTTGGGTTCACCGTTGATGTGGGCTGTGTAAGCAATTGAAGTGGATCAAAATAGTTGAAGTGCAGTTTGGTCATGTGTGAACAGCAGCAAGAAAACCCAAGCTCCAAATGAGTTAGTTTGGAAATATTATCCTTCAGAGTATCATCTGATGCGAACACAAGTCACAGCTTCCAAATGGCACTCCCTAGTTTATATCCTTCCACCTGTAGCCCTTCAGCTACAACGTAATTCTGGAAAACAGATGTTTCCATTAGATAGTAGTTCAAAAAATGACCCTGCAGCAGAACATGGTACGTAGTTTGGCCTCATAGGCTTATTCCAGAAACTATATTACACTTTATATATAAAACTCAGAATGAATAAGGACAAAGCATTCAGCCCTGATTTCTTTTACTTGGTCTGAGCTGGGGAATATATTTGGATTATTTTAGGAATATCTGTTTTTAGAACAAATGTGAGGTTTATGGAGAAGTTACAGGGAATCTTTAGTGGCAGAAAATGGGTAATACCTGGAAAAGAAAGATAATTCTCTTGGAGATTGTCATAAATTTTGAGATTTTTCATTTAAGTGGCATTAGCTCTTGGATGAGATGGCCCATACATTACTTGCTTTATCCTTCTCTAGGCTCATGAAAAAGTACTGAGATCAGACTTTTCTTAAGAAATCTTAAGGCTCATGATTTATTAATGTATTGTTTGCAGTCAGATGAGTCATGCAAACTCACGAGCCTATTTTGGTACAAGACTGTGTGTTAATTTTAGTCATGAATCTTCTGCTGATTATTGTAGCTGACAGAAATCATAAGTATTTTGGTTTTGCTTTGTCTTTATGATATCACCCTGTAATTCAGGTGAGTTGTTATTGAATAAAACATTTCTTAGTAAGAAACTTGAATCTGCAAAAGCCTGCTTCAAGCATACTCAATTGCAGTCCATTTCAGACTGCCATAAGTAGATGTACAAACTGAATTCACTAGCTAAAAGATGAACTGGTAATGTGAGTTCTGCAGTTATTTGCTCTGTTTCAAATCAATATTTCTTGGTGTCTTTTTTGTATTCTTGACAGGTGAGGCTGAATAATGATAATCTTTATATCAACAGATGCTTTTGTACTACACAATTATAACTAATTTCAGTCAAGCACTTGTCTAAAATTAAGTCATATGAATGGATTTTAGGTCTCTCATTATCTTCACTCCAACCCATTTAATAGTAGGGTCCTTCTTAAGTAGGTGACTCATGACAGTCTTCCACATGGTGTTATTTTTAGCACTTGCAGCTTCCACATGAAATTGCTCATGCTTCTCTTACATTCTGACCAAGTGCTGTGTGGATTATCATCTTGTGCATCTTGTGAGACATGCATGTCTCAGTCCAGGAGAGAAGTGGCAAGATTATATAAAGCTCTTTTCCCCATTTCTGCTATTACTGAGGGTTAGCATTTCAAAGCAAGGGGAGTACACTACAGTTAATTGGCTTCTACATAAAGTAACTAACACTGAACAGTTGATAGGTCAAGGAATACTGTTTCTCTGATAGCTGCTTATTTACGCTTATCTCTCCCTTTCTCCCAATTTACCTTGTATTTTATCCACAGTATTTATGAAGCTTTAAGCTTTTTACTGTCTCAGGAGCAGTCACTTAAAATGCCTGTATTACACTGGAAAAAGTGAAGGGGTGGTGGCAGTGACTGCTAATCGATTTATTGGAGAATAGAGAAGTGAAATCCACTGAATCTTAAAACTGTGTGTAATTGTATGTTTCAGGAACTTCTATTACATCACGATGCTGAGGGATCCCGTGTCACGGTACTTGAGTGAATGGAAGCATGTTCAGAGGGGTGCAACGTGGAAAACCTCCCTTCACATGTGTGATGGAAGAAGCCCAACACCAGACGAGCTGCCTACCTGTTACGAAGGGGACGACTGGTCTGGGGTCAGTTTACAGGAATTCATGGATTGTAGCTACAACTTGGCCAACAACCGCCAGGTGCGCATGCTGGCAGACCTGAGCCTGGTGGGCTGCTACAACCTGACTTTTATGAATGAGAGTGAAAGAAATATGATTCTTCTCCAAAGCGCCAAGAACAATCTGAAAAATATGGCCTTCTTTGGGCTCACGGAATTTCAGAGGAAAACGCAGTATCTCTTTGAGAGGACATTCAACCTGAAATTCATTTCCCCGTTCACGCAGTTCAACGTTACGCGGGCCTCCAACGTGGACATAGGTGAGGATGTGCGGCAACGGATAGAGGAGCTGAATTTCTTGGACGTACAGCTGTATGAATATGCGAAGGACCTGTTCCTGCAGCGCTTCCAGTACTCCAAGCAGGAGGAGCATCAGAAGAACCGGCTAAAGAGGCGAGAGGAGCGGCGGCTGCTGAGGGAGCAGAGAGCTCACCAGTCACCAAGGGAAGAGGCAGCAGAAGTAGCCGTTACTGAAGATTATAATAGTCAGGTTGCAAGGTGGTGATGCTCCTCCGTCTTGGCTAACTGATGAGAGGATCAGAGAATTTGTGCAACTTGGCTACCTGGGAATTAGCCAAGGAAGGCCCATGCTTTGGTAAATGAGACCGCATCTGACAACTAGCTACCCCTCCTTGACACAGTTTTTCTTGGTTTCTGCCAGTGAGGAGAATGTATTTTTTTCTCAATAGGCATTGATTAGTGTTATTAAATGACAGTAGAATAGATTCCTGTCCAAAAAGACTTCCTTCAAAGCCCTTAGCTATGAGGATGGGTTGAAGAGAGAGCTATATCCTTTGTGTTAACAGATGTACCCTAAACAATTTGAGCTAGCAAAACTTGCGCAGACATGTATGAAAAATCAGAAAAAAATACCTGGTTTGGTTCCTCTGTGGTGTGAGAGCTGGTTTATTTCATACTGTCCTTTGCAACTGTACTGCGTAGCTTTCTGGTGAATGAAACGGAGGAAAGCACGTTGCCCTTTGACCTTCTACATGCTGTGTTTTGATTAAGGGAAGAATTTGATGAGGTGATTAAAAATGACCTAGGAAATGTGGGACTGGGGCATTGCTTGTTCTGTTCTGTTAGCCAGTAGTCAGAGATGATTTATAAGTGAAGTGGTGGGGGGGTTAGCTTATTTCTCTGCAGATGCTGAGAGTACTGAACCCAGCCAGCTAGCAGCCACCCTCCTGAGCATGTGTGGCAAAGGCAAAGCCTTGAGAAATGAGGTCCATGCAACAGCTAGGCACATATCATGGAGATTATCTGGCTGGAGGCAATGAAATCAGCTTTTGCATTCACAAAAGGTGAAGAGGGGGCAAGCAAACTACGGGGAAGAGGAAAGAGAGAGCAGGAAAAGCTGAAATATTAGTGTGACATTTTCCGGATTTGCTTTGAAAGCCTGGAGAGACATTGTCTGTGAGGGTAGGCAGGGTTATGATATTGTCTGTTAAAATACATTGATGCCAACTGAATACAATTTAAATTGGTTTTCTCTCTAACTACAGTAGTGGCTAGAAAAAAAATCAGCTTTCCGTTTTTTAGGATCCATGATGGCTGTGTGGAAAGTCTTGATATTTATTACTCTGTATGAAGATTCTTTGTAAATTTATTGTTTCCATGATGAGAGATCTGTATCTGGATTTGTTCTTTGTCTAGAAAAAGATTCAATGGGTTCTTCCTCCACGTGTTACATTCTTGTGGTTAAACTGCATCTATTTATTCCAGGATTTTATGTTGTTCCACTTGCATTAGTGAAATTTTACAAAAGAGGGTCCTGTGCACCATAGATCTTTCGAGAGAGTTTTTTTTCTTCTTCTTCTAGCATAAATGTAAAGCATCAGGAGGAATTTCTCTAAGTGCCTCAACGTGGCTGCTAAATCAACATGCTGAAAGTATATTATTGCATGCATGAATGAAACCTTACAGATTTGCTAATTAGAAATACTGGAGTACCTGATGTGGATGTACATTTCTCATTTATTTTCAAAATTCAAGGTTTTTATCCAGTGGGTAAAAAAAAAAGTGTTACAGAAAGAAAGAGGCTGAATTTGAATATTTGTCCCTTCATTTCCAAGTCTTTTTTTTTTTAGTGCATCCTGTATCTTCTTCTGACAATGCTATTGCTACTTATCTATGCACAATATCAAAAATGATCTAAACATCATGTTGAGAGTTAATGCATACAATAATACAGTAAACACTGAATATCATAACAGCTGTTAAGAAGTGAAGAGGGCTGTTGGGATGATGCCTCGTTATCAATGTAGTTTATTAGCAATATGCTATTTTACGCCTGATTGTCAATGTGATACTTCTGGGGTGAGTAGTGATGGGGTTTGATCCCTAATACCTGCTCCACTGTGGCTTATGTGCACCCCTTCCCACCTCTGTGTTCAGAAGGGAAAACACAGGACTGCAGATCATTATTCTCCTGCTTGGGATATCTGCCTTAGAGAAGAGTGATGAGCTCTCTAGATTCCCCAGATGGTGCTGCTTGGATCTCCATAGCCTGGAAGAGGTGCTCAGACACCTCGCTCACGTATGGACACCAACCTTCTAGTGTTTAAATAGAAATGTTTGCAGTCTAGGTATGAAGCTCGCTCTGGCTGTCCTGGCTGCAGCACAGGGAGGCCATGAAGAACTAAGCCTGACCGGTATTATTGCACCTTTACTGCAATACAGGTAATTCACAGTGATTTGACAACTTATCTGCTCATACCAGGGCTTCAGGCTGGGCTGGCCCTTTGGAAGCAAGGAGCCTTCTGGCTGGTGATGCAGGAATGACAGGAGCTGTTGCATCTCCCCGTTTCCTGGGCCCGCTGCTGCATCTTGCTGCAGACCCTGCAGGAAGAGGGGATGGATGCCTTCAGCACCTGATATTCTATGTCCAGAATTTGCAGATGCACTCCGTGCTTCCGTGAGGAGCATGCTGGGGGGACCCCGAAGGGCCAGAGGCAGGGCTGCGCAGGAGAATAGCCAGCCACATGAGAGAAAAGATGCAAGGCCAAGTTCACATAAGGAGGAAGGTAAGTGAGAAAGTAGAATCAGTCCCAGCCCATCTTTTGTGGTAAAGCATATTTTCTTTTCCCCCCAGTCACAAAAAACGGGTCCCTTTCGTCTCATCCTTGCCTCTTTCCCCAGTGGGCCACCTCTCTGCGCCGCTCACAGCAACAGGGGACTCATTTTGTATTTAGAAAATGCAGTGTTATCTTTTCAGGAGAGAGGAGCCAGAGCTCAGCAATGGTTCCCCAGAGCCTCACCAGTGACTTTACGTATCAGTTTCAGCTGTTTAAGCACACCAACCATTCTCCAGACTATTCCTTCTGCTTGACACAAAACAAAGCCTAATGAGGAAAATCAAAACAATCTTTGGGTGGTTTACATTAGCTTTAATAGTTTGGCAATACGTTAATGCAATGCCTAACCTTTTCATCAGCCATTTCCCAGGAGACAAGATTAGGGTCCTGAAGAGCTGTTAATGTACTGTAGCATCTATGGTAACAGGATTTGCCTTAACGCTTGGGATTTAGTTAAAATTGGAGTTGATTTGTTTGGGATTTTTCTCCCTGGAGCCTGTGTAGCAGATAGCCCTGGACGTACAGGAGTAGTTGTCAGGGTAGATCTTGCCCAGAGGCTCTGGGACTGAAGGACCTGGCACCTCCCTCCCCAGCTCCAACAGTAGATCCAGCAAACTCACTGCGCCAACAATACTGTTTTTCTTAGCAGAATTTGCTGGCACATAACAAATAAAGCAGCTTGGAAATACTTTCAGGCAGACTTCTAAGACACAGGCTTGCAGCTTTTTTCCTCTTGGGCGCCGTGCCTGAAATAAAGTAACGCAAAAGTAAAATAAAGGCCCTGTTCATATCTCTGTTATTGCAGGTTTTTGTTGCTCTGACAGCGCAGACTTCACTGTAATTACACTGGCTCATATAAGATCAGCGCACAGTGTGTTTCTTTCAAAATCTTCATGAGCAACAACGCTATAGGATTTCTGTCCATCTTCCTGGCATTATTTTGTTGCTTAAACAAGGCAATTTGGCTTCTGCATCTGTGGTGCTGAAACAAATCTCATTCTTTTGTAATGGAGATGTACTTGCTAATCTCTCCTATCACATCTTCAGCACTGGCTGCCTTTTCCAGTTATAATTCACTGTAGGCTTGGAGCTGACAGAAGCATGTTGTGTCATTAAAACTTTTTCCTGGTAATTTGATGTCTAGTCCAAGAACTCAGCCTATTGCCTATGGGCCATACTTTAATAAGGAATGAAAATTTGTCCTTTCTTCCCTGCTCGGCAATGCTAACAATAAAAAGCTTTTTCATTATGGGGAAAGAAAACCACTATTTCTGAAGTTAGGTATTCTTCATTGTGGTTGTATTAATAGTGAAGATGCAATAGCCTTGCCATGGACTCTACCCAATATGTGATAGTTCTTTGCAGTTCACTAAAAACAGAAGTATAGAACAAAAAAGTGATAGAAGTCACATCCAGAGCCATACTTTCCTAACTGCAGCATATCCATTCAGCCAAACCAAATGGTAGGTCACATCACCTTTGCATCTGCAGATGTTTCAGATTCAACTGGCTTTCAAGCTGGCTTTCTATTTAACACATGCTCCTTTCTGCACTCACTAATGCAGAAAAAACCCACTAGTTCTTGTTTCCTACCTGCAGCCTTGTATCAGTTATGAGCACTGATGTTATAAAACTTATTTCACTGACACTTTTTTTTCCTCCGTTGCTATTCCCCTGATATATGTGGAATTACTCTTTTTTCGTCTAGGATAAAGAATATATTTCCAGGCTGGTGGAGACTACCCTCCACGAGATGAACAATCACAATAAAATCATTCTGCTGAAGCAGATTGCTATATTCTCCCTGCATGTGGCAAAAGCATACTCAGAAAAGGTAGCCAGTTTGCACTGAATCACTTCCCTCAGTTTGGTTTTTGTAGTACTTTCTTTGTTGATATTTTGTGGAGGGAAATTGGTTCCATAGCCTACAATGTCCTTGACTTTCTTCTTGGCTGTATCACTAGCGTGTTGGAAGTGAAAAGAAAAAAAATCAAGATTCCCATCAGTTGCCATATTTAAGATAAAAGGGTAAATTAATAGGCTGTAAATTACTTTATTCTTTAGGAATTTTCCTTCTGTTTATGTGCAATAATGTGTGTGAACTCTGCTACTAAAAGATTGTATCGTGAGTAACCATATCTGCTTTTATTCCTATTTACAAGATAGTTTGTAGACCTAGGGATTTTCATTGATGTAAAGCACAATTTAATGAATTATTTACTGTGTTTAACCATTGTGATGTCAAAAGCAATTGTTTTCATATATTTATTTGTTGGTGGTTTTCTGTAAAATGATGCTCATTAAGAGATCTGTTAAAAATGAAGAAGTTTTGTTGAATATTGTTGGGTCCATGAATTACTTATCAGCAACAAATAAACATTGTTTGCGTTTTTGAAACACTAAAGGTTCCATCTTGTCTACATAGCCATAAGAATGATTAAAAATGCTTCTGTTGGACCAGTTTCAAGCATTAGTAAGGATCCATTGTAACCATAATTATGTTTTTTTAACAAAATATACATGGAGTAAAAGCATGTTAATATAACTTACAATTTAGTTTTGTTTGGGCCCAATAGCAAATCTTTTGATTCCAATTGGCTTTGCTGGGCATTATCTCAGATTGAATTAAGTCAGGAGAGTTGAATAGTCACCAGTAGTAATTCAAGTGATCCAGTGTCAAAATTTCCATACTTGTATTGAATTA